ACCACCCTCAGCTCCCGCTGTGCCCACTGTCAGGGCCACACCACCCTCAGCTCCCGCTGTGCCCACTGTCAGGGCCACACCACCCTCAGCTCCCGGGAGGCCCTGGGAGCCGCCCCAGCCGGCCTGTGCGTCTCTGCTGAGAGGCAGTTTGCACAAAGCTGCTGCCAGCCCGCAGCCTTCCTGCCGTCTGTGAGAGATGTGGCCTTGGCGAGAGCGCCCGGGAGGAGGCGCGGCAGTCTGGGCCCAGGCTTCCCTGCCTGGGGCCCAGGTCCCCAGGTCCCCAGGGATGCTTTCTCTGCTCTGTCCCTGACCCAAGGCCAGGCCCGAGCCCCCATGGAGTGGGCCTGGGGGTGGCCCCAGGCAGGCCACTGGCCCAGGGACGCTGCAGCCTGTGACCCCCACCAGGGGGCTCCGCCCCCGCCCCAGCAGCCACGCCCGGCGCCCTGAGTGGGGGCACGCACCTCCTTCCTGAAGGCCTCGGTCTCCACGTGGCGGAGCTTGCTCTTGGTCTGCATGTAGATGTCAGCTGCGGGCAGCCCCCCGGGGGGCCTGGGCGCTGGATAGCCTGGTGGGGGTGGGGGCACTTGGGTGCCAGGGGGTGGGGGTGGCGGAGGGAAGCTGGGCGGTGGCGGAAGTGGGGTCCTCTCCGTCTTGTCCTGGGGCAGGCCCAGCTCCGGGCTCAGCATGTCCATGTAACTCTCCATGTCTGCGGCCCTTGCACTGGCCAACCCTGGGCAGGCGGGGGGTGGGGGGTTCGCACAGGCTGTCCCTCGGGGCTGGGACGGCCTCTGCTGCCGGGAAACCTGGCGGGTGGGGGGTGAGGTGTGCCCTGGGGTGTGGGGTGCCCTGTGCTTTGGCCTGACTGTGGACCAGGCCACGCTGGGCCCCTCCCCTGCCCTGCACTCGCTAGGGGTGTGGGGAGGACGCACTCAGGCCTGGGGAGGTGCAGGGGCCCTGAGCTCCAGGCTGCGCCCACAGAACAGGACTGCCTGAAGGGCAGAGGGGCCGCTCCGCGGGTGATGGGGCAGGGCAGGGTGGCACCAGACGCCTGCCCTTGCTGCAGGCCACCACCTGGTGGCACAGCGGAGGCCTCACAGGAGCCGGGCACCCCAGGCCCGCTGGGGCCAGGGCGTGTGCCCCAGGGCCTGCGTCGTGCTGGGGTGCGTCCTGCGTGTTGTGGGTGTGCGCGCGAGCCGCCTGTGCACGCGTTTGCTCGGGTCCGTCGGCGCGGGTGGGCACCCCGCGCTGTGGAAGTGGGCCGTGTCCGTGTGGCTCTGGGGTCCGCCCACGTGCTGTGCGCACACAGGTCTGCCCTGTGAGCGTGGGGAGGTGTGTGCGCGTTCTGGGAAACCTCTGGGCACCTGTGAGCTGTGCGGGCCGCCTGTGGCGTTGCCGGGGGGCACGTGGGGAGCAAGGACCGTTCGTGCAGGCACCCGGCACGTCACCTGTCTGTCACCGGGGCCAGCGTCCCCTTCTGGTGACCTGGGCAGCGCCAGTGTCGGCTGTGGGCACAGTGCCTGGGCCCCGGGCCCCGCAGGGCTCTCCCCCGCCCCAATGCCGGCCCGCTCACCGCGCGGGGGGCGCCGCTCCTTGATGCTCGAGTGGCTGGAGGAGCAGGAGTCGTAGTTGGAGAGGGTGCTGGTGGGCGAGCTGAGGTCGAAGTTGGGCGGCTGCACGGACGTGGTGGTGTTGGGCGAGGACATGCCCGAGTCCGGCTGCCTGGCCTCCAGCTCCGCGGATGGGTCCCGGGACAGCACGCGGTGCTCCACGCTCTGGACAGAGGAAGGGGGGCCGTGGGCCAGCCGCCCGGCTCTCGGGCGCCCCGGGGGCACGCAGCTGTGACCTCGGCCGCAGCCCTCCTGGCCCCCTTTCCCATCTCAGGTTCCTCCGGTGGAGGCTCAAGCCCAGTGCCCTCAGCAGCAGGCCCTGGGGCTCTGGGAGGTCCCGCCCCGCTCTCCAGGCTCAGGGGGTTCAGAGTCCGGCGCGGGAGGGGCTGTGGGCGCCATGGCCCGGCATCCGTGCCCTCCTTCTGCGTTAGGAGCAGAGGGCCGGGCTGTTTACCTGGGGGAGGGGCACTCAGGTGCTGCAGCAGGGGTGGGAGAGGCGTGCAGGGCCCCCACCACCTGCAGGACAGACAGGTGCCCCGTGACCTGCCAGCCCCCCAGACTCGCTGCCTGACGGTGGGGCAAACCCCAGCACCAGCCCAGCCCGATCTCCTGAGGGGCCCTTGGGGAAGGAAGGTGGGCGGGGGTGGCCCTGGGCCGGAGGAGGGCGTCCAAGTTCAGGCCGCCCCCGCCCTCCGCGTCCCCCCCCGCAGCACCCCCCAGCCCCCACCCGCAGGCCTGGCCGCCCCGGAGCGTGCTGGGCACGACTCTGCTTACGTTGCCCATGCCGCTGCCGCCGCAGCCCGCTCCTGCTGCCTCCTGCCCAGGCCTGCGCCTCCCGCCCGAGCCCCTCCCTGCTTGGGAAGTGTCACAGGCCCCCTGGGAGTGGGAGGCCGGTGTGGCACCAAGTAACAGCCCAGCCGCCATGCTCATTGGCCCCGTAATTAGGGGCTCTGCGGGAGTGTTTGCCTTTTCTGGCACAGGTCCTCTGTGGCTCGGCTCTGTCATGCCACAGCCGGGCCCGCCGGGTGAGGGGCAGGGCTCACTCACCACCCCTCTCGGGGGCCTGTACCCCCTCACCCGCAGGAGCTGGGCTTGGGTGTGCCACGGAGAGACTCTTTCCTCGGTTGGCAATAGGGGGGCTGGTGCTCAGGGATGGCAGCGGGTGGGGGCCCGGTTCTGGCTTGGGTGGCCCCAAATTCCCCTCCCCAGCTCATGACCTATGGCCTTGGGCCAGCCGCGTATCCTTTCCGTTGCACTGAGTGTCTTCATCTAAGTTGGGGGACAGCACTGCCCCCCACTACGCTGCAAAAAAGATTTTACAAGAAAGAGAAGGGTGAGCATGGTGCCCAGGAAGCGACACGCATGTCACCATTAGAGTGACATACTCTGAAGAGGACGTGAGGTCCCGCGAGGTGCTGGGGCCCCTGCCAGCGCCAGAAGGCAAGAGAGATGGCTCCCTGCGGCGCCAGGCAGGGGAGGGGGCCCGAGCTGGGCGCCCCCAGCCCACCGGGGCATCAGGCTCCCTGCGGCGCCAGGCAGGGGAGGGGGCCCGAGCTGGGCGCCCCCAGCCCACCGGGGCATCAGGCTCCCTGCGGCGCCAGGCAGGGGAGGGGGCCCGAGCTGGGCGCCCCCAGCCCACCGGGGCATCAGGCTCCCTGCGGCGCCAGGCAGGGGAGGGGGCCCGAGCTGGGCGCCCCCAGCCCACCGGGGCATCAGGCTCCCTGCGGCGCCAGGCAGGGGAGGGGGCCGAGCTGGGCACCCCCAGCTCACCGGAGGCTCTAGGGAGCGCTCACTAGGGGCGCTCTGTCTGCGGCCCTTTCTGGGGGGACTTCTTCCTGGCCCTGCGCCTTGCTGAGTCTGGAGGGCCGAGAGCCGGGCGACCCCTGCCAGCAGGCGAGGGCGGGCGTGCAGCCTCCGCTGCTCCAGGCCCCTGTGCAGCCGCATGGCCAGGCTGCCCGAGCTGGCACCCCAGGTCCCCCTGCCCTTCCGTCCTGCCCCAGAGAGGCCTGGCACCTGTGCCCTGGAGGGGCACAGCCCCCCACACCTGGGCCCACGTCCCCACAATAACCGGTTCAGGAGGAGCCGCAAAACCGGCTGCGAGCTCCGTCCGGCTGCCGGGGCCGCAGTCTCCCGGGACTCAGTTTACCCACCTGTGAAGGCCGACCCCTGCCTCAGTGGACTGGCTTCCTGGGGTTGCCACCTAAGTGTCCTGTGACGCGTCCCACGCTTTGCTGGGGCGGGCGCTGGCCCTCCCTCCGCCCTCCTCCACCCCCGCTGGCTGTGGGGGTGGCCTGGGCCGAGGGCTCCCCAGGGGTGTCGGGGTGTCCCCGCAGCGAGGCAGGGGCGGGGCAGGTGCCTGCCTACCAGGTGCTCCACGGTGCGCAGGTAGCGCGTGCAGTGGCTGTGGCCATTGTAGTCGGAGAGGTCGGCGGCCGTGTACCCGTCCCGGTCACGCAGGCCCAGCTCGGCGCCGTTCACCACCAGGATCTGGCAGCACTGGGGGGGGCAGAGGAGGACCGTGGGGGGGGGCGGGGAGGCCCACAGTGC